CCCCAAAACCCCAAAACCCCAAAACCCCATCATTAAATTATCACAGAATATAAGAACATAATCAAAAGTAAAGCATTAATCTAAATTATTCTAATACTTAAGGTGTAATCATTTCACTAAGATTATTAATAGTCAATGCTGATATCAGGGAATAAAATTCTGAACACTTCTGGGTATTCGTCAACAAAGTAGAATTGAATGCCTTCCTTGATATATGCTGGAAGTTCATTAATATCCTTTTGATTAGCTTTAGGGAATATGAGTTTCTTGATACCTTCTCTGGTGGCTGACATAGTTTTTTCTTTAACTCCACCAATAGCAAGCACTTTGCCATTTAGAGATATTTCGCCAGTCATTGCAATGTCTTAAGGTACTGATTTTCCCAAGGCTAAACTGAGCAATGAGGATGTGATTGTTATACCAGCAGATGGACCATCCTTTGGAATAGCTCCTTCAGGGAAATGAATGTGCACATCGTGAGTTTCAAGATACTTTGTAGCAAATTCATTTTGCTTAATATATTTTGAGAGGAAATTTTTGGCATATGTTTGAGCTATTGTCGAAGATTCCTTCATTACATCTCCAAGACTACCTGTGACTTTCAAACCGCCTTTACCCTCGTTTGAGTATGTTGACTGAGCTGACTCAATATAAAGAATAGCTCCTCCATATTCATTATATGCTAGCCCTATCACAACACCTGGTGGAGGGTATGTTGTATAAAATTTGCTTGACCTGTAAATTGGATGTCCTATGTATTTTTCAATATTGTCTACATCTACTACAATTTCTTGTTAATTCTCTGATTCAACAATCTAAAATGCTAGTTTCTCAGAGATTCTATTTATGAATTTTTTCAATGATCTCATACCAGGCTCTCTGCTATAGTTCTAGATAATGTAGTCTTTAACCTCCTCAGTAATCTTGAAATTTGCACCTTCGATATTAAGTCCAGCGTTTTCAATAGCTTCAGGCAGGAGATATCCGTCTAGAATATGTCTCTTTTCATTATGAGTGTATCCTGAAACTTTAATAATTTCCATTCTGTCTAGCAAGGCTGGATGAAGAGTGTCTAGAATGTTTGCAGTACATAAGAATAAGACTTTTGACAAGTCAATAGGGACATCAAGATAATCGTCTGTAAACTATGCATTTTATTCTGGATCTAATATTTCTAGAAGAGCACTACCAGGATCACCGTGAACACTTCTTTATCCTATTTTATCAACTTCATCAATCAATAAGACTGGGTTCTCAACTTCAGCAGTTTTAAGTGCTCTAACGATTTTTCCTGGAATAGCACCAATATATGTTCTTCTGAATCCCTTAAGAGTCGAAGTATCTCTATCTCCGCCAAGAGCAATTCTTACAAACTTTCTGCCTAGTGACTTTGCAATAGATTCTCCAATAGAAGTTTTACCTACACCTGGAGGTCCTACAAAACAAAGAATTTTTCCATGAACAGATTTCTTTAGTTTTCCAACAGCGATGAATTCTAGAATTCTCCTTTTAACATCATCCATTCCATAATGACCCTCATCTAGAATTTTCTTTGCTAGTTTTATGTCAAAATTATCTTGAGACGATATCCCATAAGGTAATTTAGTCAAGTATTCAAGATAGGTTCTAGTAACCTGAATTTCACTGTGATGCTTTTCCATCGACAAAAATCTATTAATCTCTTCTGTAATAACCTTCATAATATGATCAGGAACTGTTTTCCCCTCAAGATTTTTCAAAAATTCCTTTACTTACTCTTATTTCTCATCTTTTTCATTAGTAAAATGCTTTTTCAAACTTTCATAAATTTCCTCTAGCTTTTTTTATGTCTTTTGTTGATCAGATCTAAAGTCGTATTGCTCCTCAAGTCTATTCCATATTTCAAGCTTGTTAACGAAGTCTGTGAATATAGTGTTCATTTTCTCTAATCTCTAAGTTAGATTTTCTTCCTCGTAGACGTCTTAAATCTAGCTTCTTTGTATGTTAATCAAGAACTTATAAGTATTGATGTATTAGGGAAGTGAGATGCAAGTTAAAAGCATGTGTATGAAATCTTGAACATATTCAATTCTGTAATTAGATTCAAGGAATTATAAGTAAGCCAAAAACTTTTAATCCTGAGAGATTTTATAGCATCTCATATACTGCTATTTGAGAAATTTATAGACCACTGATTACGCAATATCCAGTTAATCCTCTGTAATTTTTTCCTCAACGATCTCCTTTGCTCTTACTCTGCAAAGTGGGGCTACTGGGTCGAGTGCTTCTATAATCTTAGCTTTAGAAGAAGGGAATATAGTTAGCATATACTAAAAATGAATTATTGTTTAATTGTATTACAGGAGAAAATGGGTTTTATAGATCTTCTTTAACTTTAGCGTGGCAAAAAACTCCTACTGAATAAACATCTTCAATCGATTTAATCTATGGTAAGCCAAGCGGAGTTGTCTAACCTTATTGCCTAGAATATACTAATTACAATAGGGAATTTCTTACAATGTTGACAAAATATCGCTTCCTGTTCTTAAGAGAGATTCATTCTTGACAACTGAAGCAACCACCATCTCTGTTTGTTTCAATTCCTAAAGAATTAAAATATGAGTGTACATTCATGAGTACTCTGTATTATTCGAGAGTAACTGATACTGCAGTTGAGGATCCAGGAAATAAAGGGTGATCAGAAACTGGTATTAATCTGAAAGTAGGCTACAATTAGAAGTCTTTGTGATCTCCTATTTGTAAATGAGATTTGATGTCAATTAGAAAATCAAAGGTTTTATTTACCTGGTTATTCAATTTCTGGCTGAGCAGCTTCATCACCCTATTCCACTGGGGATGATTTATTCTGAGAGCTGAAGCCAAATTTGTTAAAGAAAGGATAGTGAATTTATCTGAAAGGCTTATTTGCAATTCTTGACAACCCCTTCATATTGAATGGAGTACCATGCAACAAGGCAGATTATTCTAGAAACACGTTTTAGATAAGTTTTGACCTTAAAAGCATTTTAATTAAATTTAATAACCACTATCTTAAATTACGTTTTATAATAAACTCATGGGGTTTTGGGGTTTTGGGGTTTTGGGGTTTTGGGA